AAAAACGCTGACCACTTAAAAAAATGTAATATAGCCGCCAGTTTTCCAAAATGGCGACATATTAATTATCATATCATTAGTGGTAAGGTAAGTACCTATCTTTCAAATGATTATTATTAGTGATAAGTAAAAACCGCGGCCATTTTGATTTTTTAAATAGCCAGGGCCGTAACTAGATATAACCGCGCCCTTGGCGGCACTTCAAGTTTGCGCCCCCCCCCCCACACCTGCGCGTGGGGGTATTAAATACCCCCCAACAAAAACGCAAGGACCGGGAAGTCCTCCGAAAATTTTTTGAGTTCAAGGTTTGAAGCTTTTTGATCCGAGAATTTTGCTTCTTTAAAACATGGAGAAAAGATTACAAAATACAGTGTGTCCAAGATAAGAATGAACATCACGTTTTAAAAATGCGGAAATTCCGATCAGTTCCGAAGATTTAAAAAAAACCGAAAGTAACTTTTTAAGCTCACCATTTTACAAGATTTTCGCTGCGACGTTTCGTCTTTGAGAAATCATCATCAACTTCATATTTTTATAGGGACCGGAAAAAAGTACATAATGTATTGAGTAGCATTTTTTATTACGAATACAATTATGGTACAATATGCCATTTAGAAGAACAAATTATTTTGACTTTTTGTCAACGCCTACTAAACCAAAAATTTTAAAAATTTAGTAACAAGCCATTTTTCTGAGGTAAATAATAAATAATTTTTAACATTTTACTGTAGTAGGCGTTGACAAAATATCAAAATAATTCATTGATAGTTCCTTTAAATTTAAATGATATAGGACATATAGGTGATAAAGAATCTTATTGTGCCATACATCGTTGTTGGTGGTTTCTCAAAGACGCCAATTGAACAGTTTAAAAAGTTCCTATGAGGAAGTGGTATTTGTTTTATGATATCTTTTCAAACAGGGCCGGCAAAAAATAAAACCGAATATGATTAATTTCGTTTTTTTTCGGGACTGATCGGAATATACAAATTTTTAAAATATCATTTGACTTGCTTGCTTTTCCTTCTTATATTGGACACACTGTATATATTACATTACCATAAGGAGACAAAAGGGGGGAAGGGCAGAGATGAAGGTAATATCACTTTGTAAGTTGTAACGACCCAGCTATTCACAGTCACAGTACATACAGTTTAACAATCTGGAATAACATTTGTTTAAATAACCGGAATTTTTTTCCTAATACACTAATGTAAAAAGAAATTTTTTCATGGCCAATTTTGCGCCTCCCCGGTAGCTGCGCCCTTGGCGGGCGCCCATCTCGCCACCACCTAGATATGGCCCTGTAAATAGCCAGTGTTTTTATATAAAATAATACCCTTATCATACCGAGGTTCATACCAAATTTCATGGTAGTATCATCATTTGAAAGATACTACTTACTACTACCCTACCCTCTATTTACTAATAATAGTTAATATGTGTATATGAAAATTGTTTCGAAGTCACTAATTTCTACTGGGATCCTTAGGCAATTTTTTTATATTTGCAATTTTCTCCCAACAAGGTTCTATAACATTTTTTAGCGCCATTTCCAAGATTGGTTGCTTTGCTCTTTTTATTTGAGATTAAAGAGGAGAAATTGCGATTGGAGACTTGATCAAAGGAAGCAGGGACCCTTGCAAGGACCTGAAGCTAAATGACCATCGAGATGACCATAAACGTGTGTTCGCTGAATGGGCTTTGGAGCAGTTGAAAACTGACCCCAACTTTTACCGAAAAATCATCTACAGCAATGGTTTCAACAGGACGGCGCTACAGGCCACACAGCTCATACCACAATGGCCATTCTGCAGGCGATTTGAAGACAAAGTCATTTCACGATTGCACAATGTTGGCATCGAAAGTACTTTCAAATGAATAAAAAATTTCAATATCTCAGACGCATGTACCTACTTACCATTCATCTACCATAAATCAGATGAAAAAATTTTGTCCACCTTGGGTTTTAAAAAATTAAGTCTAAACATTTATTGCAACCTAACGGAAACATGACAAAAATGTGGAGTACCAGATCTAGTACCCATAGCAACTGAATGCTCTAAAACTCCAATTTAAGTTGGCACAGGGCTCGTAATTAGGTTCAGTTGTTTTTCAAAGTACCGAAATTTGAGATCTTGTGCATCTTAAACTTGTAAGGTCTTACCTATAGAGTGAAGGTACACAGTGCAGGAAGACAGTCTTCCGTAGATTTTTGTAGCTTTCTGGATTTCCTGTGACTGAAAGGTCCCACAGTCGACGGGGGTTTGCGTGTCGGCCAATTGAATACCGCCGCTAGTCATCTTTTTTTCCTTTTAAAGTGTTACATTAAACAATAAACAAGATGGACAGACAGTTGAAGCCGTTGATAGTCACATTGGCGGCAAATCCGGTCCAAATTCGTTAATTCTTTCAAAATACACAAAACGTTCACATCACATGCAGCTAACTAAAATGCAAAAGTGCACTTTGCAAGGCAGGTTTACAAAACAAGAGCAGGTACATCGGACCCTTTAAAACCGGTCTTTGTTGTATAGGTTTCAAATTCGGCATTCGTTATGTTTTGTATTTGACAAATGACACGGTATAATATAATTTCAAGGTCGCAGGCTGTGCACGGGTCAGGAGCGTCTCCATTTTTTACTTCCAAATTTGAAACGAACACAGTGGCGTACCGCAGCCAACTTTAATGAGTTATCTTTAACCAAATACCAATGCATGTTTCATTTGTTTCTGTGATTATATGTCTCTAACGCCCTATTTATTTATAAATTCAATGCTAACACTCACCATCTTACTTATAAAATACAAAACGTGTTGACATTTCTATTAATGATTATGAATCCCGTGGGAATCTTTGCGACCCCTTTATGCTTAGAGTAGAGGTGCGGGCGAGATGGATTATATATTAGCACGACTAAATCGGCACCCCAACTTGCTAAATCTCAAAAGTTATTGTGCTCATTTTGCGCCGATTTGTGCGCCAATCCACAAGTCTTCTGCCACTTTCGTTTCGGAGAAACCAAAATTTTACACCAACATCCTCGTATTGACACACGATACGAATACTTTTGTACTTGTCTTACTCTGATACGTGTGCGTCGATGCCAAGGTTTTGGGGGCCTTTGTTTTGAGGTAAATTGATGTAGGTAGGTGGTCACACCCATTATTTTCGGAATGCCTTAGGTAAAACATATTATGTGATTGCTTTGTGAAGATTTCGGCTCCTATTCTCAGTTTCTCAGCCTTTCCTTAAACCATTTTTTTATTTGGTTGGAGACGTTGGGGTCAAATTAACTGGAAAATTAAAAATTTGACTGACAGATATACTCTTAGGGTGCTTTCACACACACCGGCAAAACCGGAGCCGGTTCCGGTTCCGGCGCCGGATGCAATGTAATTAAATTTGGGCTTGCACATACAGTCCGATCCGGCGTAATGCCGTCCCGGCTGTTTGTGTCGCCGGACCAGAACTCGATAAATCGGTGGCCGGGGCGGGAAGCAGCTTGTCGGTTTCAAGGTTAAGTTATGGAATCATGCACACGCAGCTGAGAAAACCGGTGTCGGGATAGTGTTTGCTCATATTTTTATTTTAGAATGCAGAATGCAGTATACCTCACAGCTAAAATGGGATGAACCCAGTACTGGCGTTCTCGTTTCCTATATTTTCGCCTAAGATGTAGTGATATCAGTAAATTGCGGCGCCTATGTCTTTCACTAATCATAATGGCAATGCTTCTCGCGCGTCGTTCAGAATCAAACTAAAATGGTGCCTGCCCGAGCGTTGACCGAACCTTCTTCGTTTTACCGGGTGCCGGATCCGGTGACGGCAAATGCCGGTATGTGTGCATATTCCTTCCGGTCCGGCGCCGGAACCGGCTCCGGTTTTGCCGGTGTGTGTGAAAGCACCCTTACGATTAGGGCGTTGTGCGCAGGTGCACTCTCTTGTTGAAACCAACAGAATTTCCAAGATTCGTTTTTTTGTACCGTGTCGTGTGATGTCATGTGGATCCATCTAACCCGGGTCTTTTCTGGTTTTTGCAAGATTCCTTCTCTGACTTCTTTAGTGGATTCTTTATCTGCTCCGCAGAGAGGGCTGGTTCAACTTTTCTTGAGAAGCCAGCGATATTGTTTGCGGACCGCACAAGCAACGTGCTTTGAAGTCTCTGTTAGTCCAGTTGGTGCTTTTAGAAAGATTGTTGTATTTATTTTTACTTGCTGATTGATAAAGTTTTCACAACTGGAAAAGTGGCAGTGTCCTTTATTGCAGAGCTTCATAGTATAGGAAGGGAGAGTTTAAACTGAAGATTCCCACGTGTCCACACTCCACTTATTAGAGATATTCGGGAGCCCTTTAAAAACCTTTCGGCGACTATTAAAGGTTCTTAAAGACCTCTAAAATCCCTTCGTTACCTTTAAAGCTTGCAAAGAAGTTTTTTCAAGATTCTTCTATTGAATATTTTTGAAGGGTATTAAAAGATCGTAAGAACCTGAAAGAGACTCTAAAGACCATAAAGAAAATGCTGGGGAGATAAAACTAATAAGCACATTTTTAAAAAGAAGGTGACATACACGGACGATGCAGCAATATTGGCAAAAGAGATAAAACAGATGAAGGAAATAATCGGAAGAATAGAGTGACGGGAAAGGAATGAAGGTAAATATTGAAAAGTCAAAGAATATCGGATAGCAAATACCGCGAGTTTTCATTCGAAAGTAACACGAATTAATTGAATTTTCTTCTTTAAAAATTAAACAAATAAAGAACATTTTGCCCTAAGGCGAGTAACGTTAGCGTATTTTTCATGCATTTATTAGAACTTTCCAATAAGCCTTGGCTATGCCCGCTCTGTGTTTCTCCACTAGAAGGATCTATGGTTAAAATTTAAAAAAATATATATCTCCATAAATAAGAAAGTTGGTATTGCACAGTCTGGGCATGCAT